AATAAATAATGTAATGACAATATTCTGTCGACGGGAAGTGATAATTCATCTTTTTGGAGAAGTTACCAGGAAAAAGTAACTGGTAACGGGACCGTTACCAGTTACCCAGGTAACGGTAACGGTAACTTCCCACCCCTAGTCGAGAATCCTGCTATCGATCCATTCAACGATGATCTCACTCACTGTATAATGCTCAATTTTCTTTATTTTGGCAGCTGTCGTAGTGCATCCAGTAAGAGAGAACTTCAAAAGTTGGGTATAACCCATATTTTAAATTGCACTGGCTCGACATTCAAGAATCTTTATCTGCAATTGTTTAAGTAAGTTGATGATGATAGAAAAGTATTTCTGTATTTTGAAAGAGACGTTCTTCTTGATAGGTATGTAAATTTAAGTTTGGAAGATCGGCTTGATAAGAAAGGATCACTTCTCTATCATATCGATGTTGGTCTCAAATTCATTTACAGTGCTCGAGAAGAAGGAGACAAAATTCTTGTGCATTGCATCGAGGGTAAGAGTCGATCGCCGTCAATTATCATTGCATATCTTATGGATTCACAGGGACTATCGCTATTAAAAGTCGTATCAGCATGTGAAATATTTACAGTCTATAACTCAACCAAATTCTAATTTTCTTGATCAATTGGCTGAATATGAGAAAGGTATCTGGTTTTCAAAGTACAGATAAGAGACATCTTTATTAGAAGAGACAAAAACATGACTCGATAGCAACAGCAGTAATTCAAGTTGAGCCGACTATGAGATGCAAAATATGGGGTGTGGCTGTGGATGCGAGTGTGGGTGTGGGTGTGGATGTGGGTGCGGTGTGGGTGTGTGGCTGTGGGTGCGGTGTGGGTGTGTGGCTGTGGGTGTGGATCTTCTCTTCAATGACTCCCACACCTACACCCCACACGCACCCTTGTAGGTTGAAATCGATTGTTAATAGGATCTCTTTCGTTATATGTGTACATTAATGAAGAATTCAATTGATCGAGGTTTGGCTTGCTGTTTCCACTAGTGGTTGTGACAAAACTGATCAAAATCATGTTTCGGTCACGTTTATCTGCCGCTTGTTGAAGTACTTTATAGATTTCGGAAATGTCTATAAATACATCGCTGATTTTTAGCCATGTTTTGGTCAACCCTTCATGTTGAGCTTGGTTCTCGCTCAAGATATAAATAGTACTAATTTATGGAATATTATGAACCATGGAAACAATGATTTTCACGAAGGAACCAGAAAAGATGATAAATATTTTCTCTTCTTGAATATCAGTTATAAAGTCGATGTATTCATTCAGGGGTGTGCGTGTGGGTGTGGGTGTGGGTGTGGGTGTGGGTGTGGGTGTGGACGTAGGTGTGTATGACGAGAATATCCACACCCACACCTACATCCACCCACACCTACATCCACCCACACCCTACATCCACACTCACACCTACACCCATCCATACCACACACCCACATCCACACCCTTTTGGGATATCCTGCATAAAAAATGATATTTTTTTTACTGTAATGTGGCACTGTATAAAAGAAAAGTTGATTTTAGTGTTATTATTTTGTTGATTAATCTAGAGTAGTCGTGCCATTTTATATAATGCGTAATTTTTCTGATTTCTGTTTTTGTGCGTAGAAACTAGAAACTAGATATCGTGTAACGAAATACTTGTTGTTGACGTTCTTCCTTATAAAAATAAGCAGAGAATAAAAAAATGGCAAAAATAATTTGCCTCGAGTTGACTTGAGCCGAGCATACTTGTGACTCGACTTGACTCGCTTTGAATCCAGATATTGCTTACGTCGCTCAGCTCTGTGTCTACTCGAGTGCAGTCAGAGATTCATGAGTATAGAACTCAAGGTCTTGATTCAAGTTTCGAATTATTTGTGGAAGGTTTTGTAACACTTCTGTCTTCTCGATTTCTGATAGAATTATGTTGTTATTTATCGCACGGTGTACAAAATAAAATCAAGATAAAAATGAATCAATTCAATTATTTGTTAGATTAAACAGTTCAGAAAAGATAACCCGGAGATGATCCAAGTCGAATGTAAGAAGACTGTAGAAGAGGCAGAGTGCAGCGTCGTTGTTGGAACGAACGATTGTCCGTTACACAGTTCCGATGAACAGCAGCACGTACTTACAATCGCGCCGCTTTGTGACAAGGATTGGCAGGCATTTTCACCAGCAAGACACTCACTGAAATCACCCGTACTTCGAGTATAGGTTTCACGGCCGGCATAAGAAAATCGTGTAGCCTATCAGAGTCAAAGTTTATATTGATATACTTATCACCAGTGTAACTTACAAGACACCGCTCGTTTGGAGCTGCTGGTTTCATTTTGACTCCAGACATGCCATACACTATTCATGATGACAAGATTTCAAGTCGAGCATGGGCATGCGGAGAAAAGATCTCCTGAGTTTAGTGAATTTTTCCTTATCACTCGGGTTGAATGGTTCACCACAACCCGGTGTATCAATGCTCATGCATACGTAACAATTATAACCTTGCGACAGACTCACGCTTACCAGAAGAATAAATGCAACGATTCCTATTCGTTCAAAAAAGACTCGCACGGGAGAACAAGTGGAAGAAAACAATAAGAAAGACATCAGTTAGGAGTTTATGAAGAACTGTGTTGTGCATCGTATGGGTTTGCATATTTTATCGCTACCTGCGATAAGAGCGTTATCTTCTCAAGTGAAAACAACAAACGACACCTTCAATTGACTTTGTTAAGACCAACGAGAAGTGCTTTATAGAAAGGCACGGGTGTGGATGAGTGGTGTGGGGTGCGAGTTAGGAAAAAGCACATACTGGCATCCACACCCACACCATAGCAGAGCAATTGTCACCGGATAATATAGTAGAATTTAAAGTTGAAATATAAAAAAAGGTACACAAATACTTAGAAATGAATAGAGATGTTATTGAATAAAATTTCACAAAATCATCAGAACTCTATGCAAACACGAACTCGGTGAATCAACCGCCGTTAGCACTCATCAGTTATCTGGACTCTTCGTAGGGTGTGAGTGTGAAGTGTGGGTGGATGTGGGTATGGGTGTAAAGTGTGGGTGAATGTGAGTGTGAGTGTGGTTGGAAAGAACAACCACACCCACACACCCACACCCACACCCACACACCCACACCCCACACTCACACACCCACGCATCCACACATCCACACCCACCCATACCCACACCCACACCCGCAATCAAATAATGTACATGCATACTGTTTCATGATTGTCAAGGACTTTTTTCCATTAGCGTTATTGTTTTACACACAAAAAGTGAAAACAAAAACGAAGGACAGCGATAATGCTGCACATTTTTCGGTTTCTACAATCAATCATTTGGAATGATGAAAGCAAACGAATACATATTCAACCGCATTCGTTCTTACATGCAATAAGCGTTTTCGCAAGAAGATGTTATTATTGAGATTTAAAACCCAATGTTTTAATGAGAAATTTTTCTCTTCACATCCCTTTCTGCTGTGTCAAGCGTATGAAGGTACAAGGAGTTTGAAAACAAATTAATTTTTCCAAAATCATATTGAACCAACAGAAATTGAAAGTGGTCGATTATTGCCACATCTTGCTGCATTTACCAATAAACTGCTTCATTCCCAAAATGACACTCTGTTTTCTGCAAAACATACCCACATTGCACACAACGAAATAGATAAATCAAATTTTCCGAAGAAATGCCCTCATTTCGAGAATACATCGTTTATTTTCTTTGAAACTCTGCGAGTCTTGTAAAAACTGTGCAATCCATTTGTGGGCAAGAAAACTTGTGTTTTAACGAACGACATGACTCGTCCAGTCTAATGTAATAAATTACATCTCCCATAACTATAAAAGCAAAATTTTTTGGTACACTCTTCGCGTTGCTGAAGAAGTTTAGGCACTAATCTGCCATATAAAAATAATTCTATGGCTATCAAAATTCGGTCGATAATTTTTTTATTCTTTGAACTTTAATCATCAATAATCGACTAAGACTTCAACGAATATCATTGCTTATGTTAGAAATGATTTGTAATCGATTAAAATATCATTGGATGTAGGTGTGAGCGTTGGGTGTGAGTATGGATGAAAAGAACAACCACAGCCACAGCCATCCACACCACACTCTCATTTTTTAACTAAAAATTTTCTGAAAAGATCAAAACAATTTTAAGAATTAGGTATGCGATTTTTATGGTGTTAAAACCCCAGAAATGATGTTGATCTCAGTTTAAAAACATTTTTCAGTTGAACGTCATAAAAACTAGGCATATTTTGATGAAAATATATTAATTATAGTTTTAATTTGGAAATAAACTATATAATTAAGGAGAATCATCTTTTACGTCAGCCTGGTCGTTCCTTCAAGAGGGATCTTCTACGATGAGAAGATCTTATATTATGAGAAAGGATTTACAGCAATCATTAGAAAAAACAATTTTTTAATCATCAATCATCGTTCAGAAATTTTCGGAATCAATGCTTGAACAATATTCAAGAAGATCTTAATGAGCAATCGAAACGATAACTGTTTCAGGTTGACACAAAAATGATGATTGTCAAAATTTTAAAAACCGATCATGCATTTTTATTTTTAAATCTTTACCTAAAATTCATTTTCCTAATTGAGTAATATTTTTCTGTTGGGTACAGAAAAATAGTAACTAAACAGTTTATCATTCACCATATATAACATCAAATCATTGTTTTAATCAATCATTCTTTTTTTTTTGAAAAAAATGAGATCAAGCGTTCTTCTGCTCTTTATTATATCAAAATAACAAACAATTTAATTTTATCGTTTTCTTTTGTTTTCTCACACTACAGACGAAACATTTTTCTTTGATTGGCAGCAAAAAATGATAAACCAAAAAACCAGAGAGACAAAAAAAAACAGAATCATGAAAGTGACTCGAAAGAAAACAGAATGCAGTTTGGAATAAATAAGTGAAGAATTCTTCTTTGTTTTGTTCTATTTTTATTTGTCGTTTTTAACAAGTTGAACATTTTTTCTTTGTCCCCAAAGAATAAATCTTTTAAACCAAAAATGATATATTGTCCATAAAACAACTCCAACAGCAATCATTGTCCAAACAAGTACAATATGAAATGGTAATGGTTTTGTAGCAGTTTTCCAATCAAATTTTAATACAATTAATATTTCTGTCACTACAATAGCTGTTAGAATCCATGACTGTCGACCAAATTTTTTACATTCACGATTATCCAAATATTCAAATGTTTCACGCACTGCAACACCACAAGCAGGAAAAAATAAGAATAAACGTATTCCACATAAAAAATGTGGTGGTGGAATCCATAAAATAAATTTTAAATAGAATGTACCTAAATCGACAAGAAGCAAAAAACATGTTATTAATAATGTTGCAAGCCAACGTTTTAAAGATGCTGTTGGACGCCAATCAAATTCAAGCCAATCATGTGGTGTAAATTGACCCAACACACGCATTATTTTACCTCTTTTAAAATTAGTTAATACGTTTATTTTTTCGGAAAAAACAAAAAAAATTGTTTTTTTTCGCTTTACCTAACAGTTGGTATTGTCCACATGCCACGCCAATTGTATGGTTTTATTTTTAAATATTCACATGTTTTCATACCCATATAAATTCCACCACCATTACAAATAAGTGCATCAAGAACCCACTATAATAAATCGAATGAAATATTTCTAAAAAACAAAAAAAATTAAGAATTTACATGATCCCACCAACATTCACTAAAATTTGGTAATTGATGCGCAAGAGAATACTCAAGAAGTTCAAAACCTATTGATGTTACCATACAGAACCAATAATCACGAAGAATTAATGCCTAAAAAAAACTTTATTTGTTGAAAAAACAAAACTACAAAATAATTAATGATTTACTTTTAACCACCAACCAATGACATGCGATACAACAAAAATATCCATTTTATCCTAATTATAACAAATAAAAGTACATATAGCTAATAGTATTTTCATTTTGTTTTTTAGAAATTGGATTGTTTGGAACGGAATTAAATCGAATTCAGTGACAGATCCAGAATTTTTTAGGCTAAGTAGCGGGAGGACTCAGTCTCCTTTGCTCCTCTCC